GTTGTTATGTGCTGTTGTGTCTGCTTTTAACTCATACTGACCACATAAACAATAGCCCTGAACCCTGCTCTATCCTGTGCCAACCTTACTGTCTCTGAGACATCAACCCCCATTACCCCAGTCACTGAATCAATCCATCTCACCGAGGGTCTTCCTCTCCTGCGCTGTCCCTCCACCCTCCCGCGCATGATGTCCCTCTCCAAAGACTGGTCCCTCCTTGCAACATGTCCAAAGTATGTCAGACAAAACCCCTGAATCCTTGCCTCCAAGACGCAGCTTGGTTGCACCCTCTCCAGGAGTCATTGTAAAATAATTTTTTTTAAAAGAAAGAAGATATATTTATTGAGGGTCTCACAAAAAGGGATAGTTTTTTTTATTAAATAAAAATATGTAGATTGAGATTGTCGATAGTTTCAGTTTGCTTGACTCTACAAATCAACACTCTTGGTACCAGCAGTCAGAAAATTAAAGGACAAATTGCATTGGGAAACTCTGCTGTCAGAGACCTTTCCAAGTTACTGAGGAGCAACGATGTCAGTCTTGAGACTAAGGTGTGTCTGATACAGGCCATGGTCTTTGCAATTACTTGCTATGCATCAGAGAGCTGGACAATGACTAGGGATGATAGAAGGAGAATTGATGCCTTTGAGCTGTGGTGCTGGAGAATAGCGTTGAATATACCATGGACTGCTAGGAGAACAAACAAGTTTGCCCTGTAGAGGGTGAAGCCAGGCTGCTCCTTGGAGGCAAGGATTCTGAAGCTTTGACATACTTTGGACATGTTGCAAGGAGAGATTGGTCCTTGGAGAGGGACATCATGCTTGGGAGGTTGGAGGGACAGCGCAGGAGAGGAAGACCCCCAATGAGATGGATTGATTCTGTCACTGGGGTAATGGGGATGGGCGTGTTGGAGACAATAAAATTGGCAAAGGATAGAGCAGGGTTTAGGGCTATTGTACATAGGGTCGCTATGAGTAGCTGGTGACTCGATTGTACGTAACAACAACAACAACATGTAGACATAAAAGAAGATTAAAAATGGGTGACCCTGGAGGACATCATGCTGAGTGAAATATCTCAGTCACAAAAGGGTAAATATTGCATAGGGCCACTGTTGTAAAACATCGAGGTTGAGGGAAGACAGAAAAGGAGGGGAGGAATGATGTATACTGCACTGAAATAGATGAGGGAGAGAACTGTTTAAAAGGGACATATGAATGGGTATTATTGTCATGACAGAAGTTCAGAGTGAAGGCTGCATAGTAGAGTGGACTTGGGGGGAGGGATTGTATAACAATGAAAGTTTCTTTTTCTTTTCAGGGAGGGGAGTACATTGGGGGGGTTAGAAAGAAAAGTGCAACAATGACTGGAAACCCTAAGTCTTTGTAAACTTTCATTGTTGTTGTTGTTGTTATTATTGTTGTTGTTGTTGTTATGTGCCATCGAGTCGTTTGTGACTCGTAGCGACCCTATGTACAAGAGCCCTAAACGCCATTCTATCCTGTGCCAACATCACCGTCTCAAACACATTCATTCCCATCACTCCACTCACAGAATCGATCCATCTCATCGAGGGTCTTCCTCCCCTGCGCCGTCCCTCCACTCTCCCAAACATGATGTCCCTCGCCAAGGACCAGTCCCTCCTTGCAATATGCCCAAAGTATGTCAGATGAAGCTTCAGAATCCTTGACTCCAGGGAGCATTCCGGCTTCACCCTCTCCAGGACAAACCTGTTTGTTCTCCTAGCAGTCCGTGGTATATTCAACACTCTTGTCCATCACCACAGCTCAAAGGCATCAATTCTCTATCATTCCTAGTCACTGTCCAACTCTCTGATGCATAGCACGAAACTTTCATTAAATTAATTAAAAATAAATAAATAAAAGAAGATGGAAAGGCTTGGAAACACTGAGGGGTGGTTCAGCTCTGTTCTGTGGCCTTGCTACAAGTTGAAATTGACCTCAGCAATGGGTTTGGTTTGATGTGGGAAAGTCACTCTTCCCTTGAGATCTCTTTCTGCCCTCGGTCTGGAAATGTTCATCACAGATAGTCCCATCTGCAGCCTCCGTGTGCGAATGGGGCAGCCTCGTAAACGGATGGTGCCTCACGTAGTCAGCTCTGTCCCCTGTCGCCCTCCACAGACGTACTCCGGCCTCTTCTGTGTGGTCATCAACCCGTACAAGCAGCTTCCCATCTACACGGAGGCCATCATCGAGATGTACCGGGGTAAGAAGCGCCACGAGGTGCCGCCGCACGTCTACGCCGTGACCGAGGGCGCCTACCGCAGCATGCTGCAGGGTGAGTGGAGCCAAGGTCAAGGTCAAGGGACGAGCTGTGGATTCCAAACTCTGCAGGCTTCTCGGGAGGCAGGGAGATGGGCTGGAGGCGGGAACCTTTGGCTCTGTGTCCTCCCTGCCAGACCCACACCCCTCTGCTTCTGCCTTTTGCTTTGCCAAGGAACCCTTAAGTGTTGGGCTGCCACATAAAAGTTCAGGGGTTCGAACCCCCGTGCCACTTCTCAGGAAAACGGTAAAGCAGTCTGATTCCATAAAGGTTTACAGTCCCCCGGGCGGGGGAGTGGGGAGGGGGAGGCAGGGAGAAAAATGAAGCAATGAATGCCTGGAAACCCTAAGTCTTTGTAAACTTTCATTTAAATTAATTTTTTAAAAAAAG